TCAAATACAGACGCCAACAGTGTTCAGTTAGTTGCAATCTGAAACTTCACCGCCAGATGCCACTAAATCCTACACACTGGTCCTTTAACATGAAGCTTTGAATGGAGGACTCTTGTGTAGCAGTAAAAATCATGATTATGTTGAAACAAGAATTTCCTCTGTTAATCTGACAACGCTAGTTTTCAGTTTTTTATATATATCATCTATAGGGCATCACACTAATAATTAAAGGAGCGTATTACCAGCGCACGTAACATAGCTTTTCATCAAATATTTTAAATACTGTAGGCAAGGCTGCTACTATTCTTATAGCAATTTGATTGCACTGGTGTTGTGCTTTATGAGTTCAGGGCAGAGAAGCAGGTTTAAGCTAATGCTGGTGTTTGTCACCACAAGATATGGACAGCCTGATCTATCTGCTCCATGGGAAACTTATTGGTTGTCATAGCGTAGAATGTCCTGAGAGAGAATCAGGTCATTTCCACACAGAGCAGCATAAATGTCAGCCTAACAAATTATTAGTGTGTAGATCAAAAATATCATTTATGTTGAAAAGAAGAAAAAAAACAATCATAATGAGATATATATTCACAGCATACATACTGTCGCACAATGGATATTTGGTTCTTTCTATGTCTCCATACTCAGCTTTTACCTCAACATCAGTTAAGCTTTAAATGAGACTATTTGAGAACAACATGCTGAAGGTTAATTCAGCTTCACATAGAAATGAAAAAAGTGCCATGAAAACCTTTATTTTTATGCATTTTTTGCACATTTTTCCAAACTGAATTCGGTCTAAACCTTTTTTTTTTTAGAATGCAGTACTATATGCATATATAGAGTCAAAGAAAAGTGAAATGCTCTACTTTTGGTGCTTCTCTTATTCCTTTATTGAGCGAGGTAGTAAAACATATAACCCCCCAGTAATCTTACCACCGCTAACTTGGGACAGCTGATATGGGCCAGCACATTCCCAAAATGAATCTGACAACTGTTGTCCCTCATCAGACTGAGGGTTTCTCTGATCTATCTTCAGTGCATCCTGAAGGTACTTGAGGGTGAATTAAAACAATCCTTCTACTATTTGTACACATTAAAACTTAGAGGGTGTGTTTTTAGTGCACTTTGTCTTCTATGATTTTGCTACAAAACTCACTTGTGAAATTTTCGACAGAATCACATCCTATATGGTTAATCATAATAAACTACTCAAATGAAAATGATCAAACATAACTTTGTCTCTGAGCAGGCTTAGTTATTTTGCTATATATATTTTGTCAGAATTCTACACTTCTGGCCCCCAGTTATTAGTAACACTACATACTCTTATCACTGAAGCCAGTGGTCAATTAATAACCTTTGCAGGAAACAGTGTATTGCCAAGAAAGGTATCCAAAGGTAGTTCACCAAAACACAGGCAGACAGATAGAAGGTGGTTTGGGTAGAGAATCATTGCTACAGCTTAAAAATATCAAAAACCAAATAGCCTAAAAACCATTCCAAAGAAAACAGTATCTGGAGACGTCAATACTCATTCAGTGAACTGAGATGAGAATCCCATCTTATCATCCATCAACTAAGTGTTACTTAACACACTCAAACACATTTCTCTGTTAACTGATGTTAATCTTTGAGAGAAATGACAAAAGGTTTTGGCTTTGATTTTGTAAAGGCCTTCTAACTACATAAACTGTGTATCTAAGCTATAGTATGTTGCTTGATCTCTAACTTTGCTGTACTGAATTGTAACTGCATTTCTCAAGAATAGACTGTTCCTGTTTGCCTTTGATATTATCTATTAATGTGTAGAAGATATGAAGTAATGTTTGCATGCATACAAATGGACTGGGTTGGAGACAGCTAAGGTCTTGTGTATCTTGTCCAGAACAGGACCGTTATACTCAAACACTGAAGTGATCAAAGAACTGAAATATAGAGTTTCAACCAATTAAATGATCACTTACATTGTAAATGTTTACCTGATGAAAATGTACACATTGTAATACATCAATTAAAACACTTTAGAAACTAAAATGTTGTTGCTGTTTTTATTAGTAGCTTTGGATGAATTTAGCTTATCACAGACATATTAGTATATTTTGGATAATGAGTTAAGAATTTGATTGAACACATGAAATTTAATCAATCTACTATTAAATAAAGATCTGAAATATAAACTTATAGTCTCCTATTACATTCTAGCTATCAGTAGAATTGGATATTTGTTCTTTTATCTTGTTGCAGCATTGCATTTGATTGTTTCTGAGTGTCTTCCTTATAAGACTATTCGTTAGTGGAGATTACTTTTATGAGCGCGGTCTATATGTAATCTGATGTTTATATGTTTGTAATATCTGGGCCTCTAAGTCTTCATATGTTACATAAGGTGTGCAATGCGGACAGAGAGTATGCAATATGTCACAGCAGAAATAAACGATTGGGTTAAAAAAATGCATTTTGTATTGTTTGGTATTACCAAGTCTTTGTTTTTTTAAATTATAATGAATCTATTAATTCATTGTTAATGTTACTTCTACTACTACTTTCACTACCCTTATTTATCCAATCTCAAAAACGTACTGTTGTATTTGATATTGGGGTTATTTTTCAACTGTAAAATATTCAGCAAAATATTTAGTATATAAATTAGAGATAGGGAAAATTAAAGTTTATATAATGTGTTTATGTGAAAACAATATAGGAGAATATTGTTAGTAGATTTCAGCTCTTAAATATTGGTATCTGCCTCAAAAATCCAGTAATGGTCAGGCTCTAGCAATAATAGAGTTTGTTTTTTTTTGCCAAAATCAAATAGGAAACAAACCTTTAAATAAAAGATTGCAGGTTCATGACTATGATATGAGCTGTGTCGAGGATGCACATCGCGTCTAAGTTTACATTGAGTGACATGTGTGAGGATACTTCAGAGCTTATCAGTCTACCCGTTTCTAGCGATGGAAGAAGTAAGTAGCACTAAAAACTAAAACGTAGCACTACGTAGAAATACTCCATTGAGTAAAAGTGCTGAATTAAACATGTTACCTAGGTAAAAGTACATTAGCATCAAAATATACTTACATAATCCCAAAAGTAAAAGGACTTCTTATGCAGAATGACCCATTTAAGAATAATCTATATTATAATATTGGACTATAATTACTGATGCATTAATGTGTACATCACTTTAATGGTGCAGCTGGTAAAGTTGAGGCTGATTTTATACTTTATATACTGGTAGGTAGCTTGTGATTTTCACCAAGGGCTCAATAAAGTTGTATCTTTACCCATATTAATATATAATGATTTATTTTTTGATTACATTTTGTATTATTAACACGCAAAATAACTAATAACTATAGTTATCAAAGAAACATTGCGAAGTAAAAAGTACAATATATGCCTCTGAATTTCAGTGAAATTACAGTTTTAACATTATAGTATAACGTAGGAGAAAATAGAAAGTACCTCAAAATTCTATTCTATTCTAGTTCCATACATGAGTAAATGTACTTAGTTACATTCCACAACCTTCCTTTCCTGTTTCTTTCATCAAATGGCAAAACGGTCAAATTGTTGACTCCAAGCCAACGGCAGGAAACAAAGTTATTGCAATGTCAATGTCTGTTTTTACATAGAAATAGAGTACCGTATGTCTGGGAATGCTGGTTAGACGGACAGGTTAATGATAATACTCAAGGCATTTGTCCAAGGAATACCTCTGGAATGATACATCATAATAATCTGACTGAAGCAGCTTCTAAAAATACCCCCACCGTCTACCACCAGAGTAAACTTTCAAGTCTGCTTAGTTCCACTGCCTGAGTCTATTTTGGAGAGCTCTACAGGCTTAAGAACTGGGTCGGAATCTGCATTACAAGAACAGCTTTACGGGTTTCCCTCTGATTGATTCAAAATGTCACAGGCCCTGTTCTGCCCCCGGGCATCCAGAATCCCACAGCTGTGCCTGGGAGGCCCTGTGAGTGTCTGTGTTAAGCCTGCACAGTAGCTTACAAGAGACATGTGACCTCCACCATACCTCCAGATGTACTCCATCACAGGTGTCCAACGCTAAACACGGTCCTGCCCATAACTCGTGTGGAATCTGCTCCCCGTTTCCATCCATACAGCTTTCTGGCCATTGCCTGATGAATGAAAAGAGGACACCTGCAGATGAGATCACAACAGTGTCTGCATGCATATTATACAGGATGCAGGTCAAGCAGAAATAAAATAAGCTCTCAAGTGTGCAATGTAAACAGAAAGAAACAGGGTCACAATGAACACAATCAATTAACAAATCCAAAACAAGTACTATTCAGGTTGAATGGACAGAGATGTAGGCTAAATCCTACAGGCTTTGGATTGTTATCTTTAGGGAACACACTATTACAACTATTGACCTGGGCGGCTCTCAGACAATGAGAACAAGAATGCAAAGTATTTCAGTTCTCAAAACAAGGGAGCAGTGATTTTGATTTTCTCAAAAGCTTAGAACCTGTGAAGCGTCCATAATGCTACTTTAGGTATGGTGACATAATAAGTCATTTTTTTTGCATTAAAGTCTGAGATTATTACCCTGTAGAAAAGAATGGGTGTAAAAGGTTAAGCATCTGCACTGACATGGCACATTTTTTACATGAGATGAGGTATTTTGCAGTGCAGGTAACTGCTTCTATACAACTCTGACAAATGTTATGTTGATCATCTGCGCCATGAAGGGTAAAATGTGACACCCTATGTAGCTGCGCTGTTATGATACCTTCTCTTTTTCTCTTAATGATGACTATTCGTGAGCAGAAAGGTCTGTCTGCTGTCATATCAATAAGTTAGAGCTGCAGCAGTGACAGTTGAGGGCGATGAGCATCAGCATCGAGGCAAGGAACAGCTGTAATGAGGAGAGGGGTGGGGGTTCAGTTCTGGAAGATTCTGCAGGAATCTTACGAGTGGACCCCGTTTCATTCGTTTATTGTGGGGACTGTTTCTCTGAGCTAGGTGGTTAGCCCTCCTTGTCAAAGCCACAACGTACACACTGTGGTTGGGACTAAAGGTTTTAGGGTGAGTTTTCTGGCCAACATTTTAGTATACATGCTTGCTTGTCACCATCAAAATCTATGGGAATGTGTATATCTCTAGATGTGTTGGTTTGACTTGACGTTGCATGCTAACAATGTCTCAGAGGTGTCATTTTCCTTTTCATTTAGCTCATTTAGCTAAGCTAACCTGACTAGCCGTCAGCCTGCTGGTTATTCAGACGAGTTAACGTTCATTAACGCTAGTTAAGCTGATGACTCAAGCTAAGCACATATCGACAGTAACGAATATCCATTGTCATAACAGTATAATTACACGTAAGTCGCACGTTAACCCAACGCTTCACTTATTGCTGGCGTCTGGTGTAGGCTAGCTAACCTAGCTTCAAAGAAACCACAAGAAACTGTAGCATGCTAACGTTAGCTCGTTAGCTAAAGTACAGCTCGTTTATTGATCCAGCAGAGATGTAACGTTGGCGCTAGCGGTCCAGTCCTACCAGTGCTACTTCACCAGTTATCATATCCAGATAATCATTACTGCTTTGGCATTTAATGCGGCCTTATGCCTTATGCGCTGCTGTTGATAGCATTTATTTGGCTAACATGAAACGCCTTCAGTTGATGTCACAAGCTGTCCAGACTGTCAGTGTTCAGACAGATTAGGCTAACGTTAGCTAACCCGCCCGGTTGTCTGACAATCATCGGCATCTCTTTGTTTTGTGTGATGTATGAACCACCATATCAACACAGTTCATCTCATCAATACGATATCAAATGTTACCCTCCTCTAAATGTGTTTATTACAGAGCCAATGACTGGAATAGACTGATACCTACTTCTCACTGCAAAGATGTCAAGTAAGGAACTGGGAGTGTTTGAGCTAGTTGTGATATGAAGCTCTTTGTAGGCGATTATATAAAACGCATAATCAAACACATCAGACCTGCTGTTTCCATATATCCATGTTACATAGTGATATGACCAGAACACTGCAATATCAAAGTGTATCAATGGTTATCAGAGGATCCAGATGATGTAGGGGTACTTTGTTATTGATGGGGTTATTTCATGTAGAAATGAAGCTTATTTAGTAAACATCACTGGCAAATTGTTAGGGTTAGCTAATAGCCTGCTGTTTCACTGGACTGATTATTGATGTTTGATTTGGACCTTTTCTTTCACAACAGAGAGACCATCATATGCCCCTCCCCCTCCCCCTGCCCCTACAACTGTAAGTACCCCTACCGAAGAGTAGCACCAATCTTCTGGGTATCCCAAGTTAAGCTGATGTTTGAAGGCTCCATTTTAGCACTGTTTATGATTTAGCAAAATATCTTTTCAAAAAGATCCACTCTTTTGTGGATTGGTTAGTAACACAGACTGATGTGCTGATGCACCACTGCTTCTTAAAAGACTATTTCCTTATAGCTCCAGCATGAATGCAAGTTTCTTTATTTTGCATTTCCACAGCTTATTTCATTGGTTTCATTTCTCATTCGTATTTCTGTCTCATTTGTTTCCATCAGCAAATGCCCAACACTACCGGGTTTGTGGGGTACAACCCATACAGCCACCTGGCCTACAACAACTACAGACTGGGAGGGAGCCAAAGCACCAACAGTCGGGTAACGGTATGAATATTAACAGTTAAAAAAGGTGACCGAAAATGTCAAGCAGACCCAAGTGGAGAAATTAAAATCTGTAACAGTTCACTTCCAGTTAAGTTTCACACTTAACAGTCTGCCTACTCAGCGAAGGAAGACACTGCAGAAGCCTCTGCGAGCATCAGTAGCATTGGAGCTTTTCACAACATCGAGCTTTGCTAATGAGATTAGATGTATTTTTGCATTTCCATCGTTCAAAGAGCAGATGCTGCAAAATTTTCAGCATGAGAAGCCTAACTCGTTCCATTACTGAGACTGCATCTGATATGTGTGTCATTCCAAATGTCCTCTGCTGCCTCCATCACAGTGCAGACTGGCTAAAAGTCCATCTGTGTGTATTCAAAGACCACCTGCCTTTCAAAGTCTGCATTTCTGACAGCCATGTTAAGTAACCCATGCCATCAGTGTTGCCATGGCATTACAGACTCTCTGCTCGGCATGGCTCTGGCTGCTGAGCAGTAATTTAGTCGCTGCATGCAAGCTGTGGTTGGCTGACTCTGATAATGGCATTATGGGCAAATCTCAGCTTAAGTGAGATGTTTTTTTTTTGTTTTTTTTTCACAGTCGGCACTATTCCATTGTACTCTGTTGGGTTTCTGACTTGTGTATGGCCTCAAACTGACATTAATTAAATCATGTTAATTGAAGTGATACAAAGTTACTTTGATGCATATTGTATTTGATTTCAGGTCTCATTTTTTGATAGATTTATATCAAATTACATAACTGTGCACCTGCACGTAGTTTCACAAGGTGACTCTTTTTCTTTGTTTACCAGAATTCTTCAGGAATAAATATCCCAAAGCCACCCAAACCACCTGATAAGCCACTGATGCCATATATGAGATATAGTCGTAAGGTAAGTACACAGTATTTAATTGCTACCTTTTGCATCGTCATGTGCTCTGTTGGAAGACAGGGATGCTTTGCTTTTAATATATTCTGTCAGAGTAAGTAAGATGTACATTTTGTTTCAGACACTTAATAGTTGTTTATCAAGGTAGGTGTGAAGCCAAATTAAGCCAGGACTTAGGTAGGACTGTCCACACCATGTAGTGGGATTTATAAACTTGGAGATGGAGCTTAAAGCACACGGCCTCCTCTGGTTTGTGACCTCTCTGCAAAGAGATAACCACTTATAGCCCCTCCAACCCAACCCAACCCCACACCCATGTCTGGTTCTCATCACCAGGTTTGGGATCAAGTAAAAGCCTCCAATCCTGATCTGAAGCTATGGGAAATTGGGAAGATAATCGGTGGCATGTGGAGGGACCTCACTGATGAGGAGAAACAGGATTATTTGAATGACTACGAAGCAGAGAAGGTTGGTTGTTTTACGGGGTTTTTCTTATGGGTGACCAGTAGATGTGTCTCCAACAGTTGTGGGTCCCTCCAGTCATCATTCCTTCCTTTCTAACAGTCCTGAGTAAACCTCTTTCCTTATCTTGTCGTAGTTGATTGAAAACGAGGGTCCACGTGTTGTGTCTGCTTGCCATCTCTGTTTCCTCGTCATTCCTGTCATCTTTTCCGCCGTAGATTGAGTATAATGAGAGCATGAAGGCCTATCACAACTCTCCAGCCTACCTGGCATACGTCAATGCAAAAAGCCGGGCCGAGGCAGCTCTGGAAGAGGAGAGCCGCCAGAGGCAGTCCAGACTGGACAAGGGCGAGCCTTACATGAGTATTCAGCCAGCGGAGGATCCAGATGGTAAGGCCACTCAGCTAAATGCTTTGTCTTCCAAGGTTTAGAGCACCGTGACAGAGCTGTAATTACTGTAGCACGACCACACAGAGTTGCCAGTCCGCACACCCAGAAACTGTTATCTTTTTCCCTCCTCCTACACTGCTACAACTGTCCACATTTTTGGTAATGGTACCTTTCAAACATCATTTCTTCCTTCAAGCTGCAAAATGGAACACAATTTGTCTTTGTTTTGCACAACAGTTTACATTTTGTAGGTATTCTTGGCATTGGTTTAGACATAATTGCAAAATTTACATTCTTTTCTCTGTTGTTTTAAAGACTGACGCACACACGTTAGACACACAAGCCAGAAGAAGACGTTTTGAGTTACACCCACCTCAAGGAAATGATGCTTGTCTGGGGTCTGGCTGGGTCACAGTAGACGATAATGATGTACAGGAAAACTACAGATAAAACCAATTGCTATTTAGAAACACCCCAGACCATAAAAATGTCAGAGCTGGTATCCCAGTGGGTTATGTTCTCAACAGACTGCACGTACGTCAATGATTAAATAAGGCTTAGCTATCCGGGTGGCTCCATATTGAGAGATTGTGTTTTAGTAATAAAGTCAGAAATTCTACCCTAAGCTGCTGCCATACACTCTTTTTTCCTTTTCTGCTTTAAACAGCATCATAACAGCTCACAGAGATAAAGTGCCTGCTAGAGTCATAGAGTCAGAAGCAACAGATGGACCTA